TTGCAGCATGTCTTGTTTTTTTCTTTTTTGGAATTTGTTTAATATTGGCATCATCTGTTTCGTCTACTTTTTCTTTCACTTAATGAACTGCTGGCTGAACATTTATGAGAATTATTAGTAAATTTTTTGTTACCAGCACCTACCCTCTATAAAACAGAGAAGTTTATAGTTTTACTACTCATTCCCACTATAAAACATACACCAAAATTCATTTCCAACATTCAGTATTTTTTCGTTCCGAACATCTGGACGGTTTTCATTCCGAACATCCGGAAAATCGATTTTATTTTTTATATCCGATTTCGAACATCCGGTCAAATAACTTGATGTCCGGAAGAGTGAGGACGAAAAGGGACGCACCCAACTTGAATTCGGAGAAATCGACATACTGTTTATCAAATTTTTACTATTGAATATTTTTTCTATAATCCTTATGACAAAGGTGTCTCTGTTAAATTTTAGCCGACAAAGACGTGAATTCAAGTTAAGAAATGAATGGATAACGTAATCAACCAATAACTATAATCACAATATAAATGTACCTACCAATCGTTTGATACAACTACTTTCGTTGTTTTTATTCTTAGAAAATTTTTCCTATCGACATTTTTCTCCTTCGATATATCTACTTTCGACATTTTTACCTTTCGACCAAAGTAGGGTAAACCCTCTTAGGGGTGTCGCGTTCCTTTCCTGAAAACGGATACGGAAATCTTTTATAAAATACAATGATAAAAAATAATGAATAAAAACTTCGAGCCATTCAGAACCTATTCTAAACCACAGCTTGCGATGCGTCCCGTTCCTAGGAACGGAAAGCTCTGACACCCCTAATCCCTCTTTGGATTGAGAACACATAGACAAAAAAAGCTTCACTAGTCTCAATCGGTGGATTTTTGGTCGCCGATCTGTCTGAAGGGCCTCATATCTCAGATAGTCAAGAAACTCTGTCAGTCAAAATTGTTATGTTAGTAGACTAGGTGTACGGCTGCAAGAATCTGTATAACTTTTTCGAGAAAAAAGATGGCGTGAATTCCTCATTCTTTCACTCAAAAGGATGACATACTTGAAATCAGCATTAAAAAACTCAGCCCTGCTCTTCCTGTGGATGAGGACAAAAACTGAAAGCTATCAAAATGCGAAATTCAGATTCTGTTGTAGCATGAGAGACTTCTCTAGAGATCTTCAGCGATTCAGAAAGTTTTCGAGTCAGCGAGATCAAATTGGCGTTGACGTATTTGCAAATACGAGAGAGTATGTCCGCGGAGTCGACATTTCTTCCATCGACAGAAAGGATATTATGCAGAAACCATAATGTTCATTGTTGTGTTCGTACATCTGATAAATGTTGTTCAATTTTTTCATCTATTATTCAGAGTATTTCTGCTAGAGAAAAAACTATACGACCCATATCTGTATAGGAAAGTGAGCTGTCTCAATCTATGCTTTAACTTTTATCAACAATGGTTTTTTTTCATAGGTTTGTAGTATGATATAATCCTCTGCCAATATCCTTACGATACGACAATGACGAAAATGAGGACATGAGATAGTTATGTCTGATTTTTTTGAAATTTTATGAAAGCTAATTAATTGGAGGGCCTCTAAAAGTTAACACCTCTCCTGTGTAATGAAATATCTTTCGCGAATGTAAAGCATACTTGGGGTGGTGGTTGTTGTTGTCGTGGAAGTTGTAGAAGTCGTCTTAGTGGTTGTTGTTGTAGTTGTAGTGGTAGTTGTTGTTGTTGTTGTTGTTGTTGTCGTTGTCGTTGTTGTTGTTGTGGTCGTTGTTGTTGTTGTTGTTGTGGTCGTTGTTGTTGTTGTTGTAGTTGTTGTGGTAGTCGTTGTTGTTGTTGTTGTCGTTGTGGTGGTAGTTGTTGTTGTGGTGGTCGTCGTTG